TCAGGGAGAAACTTGAGAAGAACTCCCTTTGCAGCATCAATTATACGATTAGCAATTGCTGGTGAAACCCTGGCAGCATAGGCTGTTCCTCGTATCCTTTTTATTTTTCCAGGATTTAGAAACTAGGAGGAATTGATTGTTTTTGAGTCTATACCTTCAAAATCACAAAAATTATTTGATGCAATCAGTAGACTTACCACCAGTGGCCTGAGTTGTTTAAGGTTAGGACAACGAAAGAAAACTTCGCCACCACCTTCTGGAGCCATACCTCGCTTATTTATTTTAAATTCCATACCATCATCAACAATTAGAAACTTCTTCAGAGTGGGCATTGCTGATAATTTCACTGAGTCCACGGATGGATCGGTCTGTAAATAAAACGAGCTGAAGTAATCTAACTCTAACAATAACAGACAACCAGAGTGTTAAAGAATGCAATACCTCATTATTTGTCACACCGCGCAGGATAATACTTAGTGGCTTTTTACAGAAAGGACCAAGTCCCAAAAGAACTTCAAGATAATATCCAATTCCTCGTTGCTTACAGCATTCATGTTCTAGTGTTCCCCCTATCAACAATCCTGGCTGGTAATACAGCGAAGTACCAGTCTCGTTAACTTCAATTGTTGATCCATTGGTTAGTTTGTCAAGTAGCCGGATCAAGTTGACTTCAAATTCTGTAACACAAGATTACAGTGTGGCAATCAGTTGCAAGTAAAATATCTATAAAACCTTCTTCTTTTCCTGGCTTAGTCAAGAATATGGACAGGCTTCATAATTTTGTGTACATGTCTAGCAGATGCCCACATGGGATCAAATGAAATGAAATACTCACCTCTTAATCCTGGCTCGTTGTCATCGCTTCGAATTCCCTTTACTCTTACTGGCTTTCCGCTTAAAGTAGACAACAGAAGTCTTTGACGCAGAAAGTTGCAACCATCGTATTCCAAAATATCTTCTCGACGAGGAGCCATGGTTTGCAATAGGTTATAAACACAACAACAACATCAACAACAAAATGAGGCTGCTGTCTGCTCGTGCTCTCCAAAACTACCAACGTTTAAATCACGAATCAGAAGCACCGAAGTCCCTGGTACTAGTCCACAATCAAAACAATCAAAGTAAAAGAATATGAGATACTTGTTTTAGTATTTTTGAAATTTTAAGCATTTGTATTAACTTTCTTTGATGAATGTTTCGTAAACCTTAAATCTTTTGTAATTTTTCTCGGGTCTCCCATTTCGATCTTGATCAGCGGTGAACCTAACCTCATCACTATCATCTACCAGCACACCATGGTCAAGGGTTCATCAATGTTGTAATTCGAAAACAGAACTATTTGCATCGAATTTTCGTGGTAAAATTTGTTTTACCCCAAGTTGTGATTCGTAGGCCTAATGGCATTAGGTCGTCACTCTAAAACTCTAATCGGCTGGTAGGTAAACTCGATTTGCAAGGTAATTTTGGGTCTGCTCAACTATTTCTTCTTTGCTATTCAGAATCAAATTTAAATTAATACTGAAGTGCTAAATTCCCTTTTTTTCACCCTGTCGAAGTAAATTGCTGTTAAATGAAACGGAATCAATGATCCAAATTTAGCCATTGATCTAGTCAAAAGTACATTGCACATTGTACAATTGTCGGCCTCTCTTTTTTCAGGGTGGTTGTTACGGCCTTCGCCTTCACAGGTCTCTACTTCTCCCGACAATCTATCAACACCAAGCGTGTGAACCGCATGCAAGAAGAACGTCGCAAACTCAGAGAAGAGAAATCAGCTCAGGAAAACTCCTCTTGAATTGAGTCCAGCGTAATCATGGCACAGTTACCTCAATTAGATATGCAAAAGATGCAGATGGTTCAGGAGTTGGAAATTGAAATGATGTCAGATATGTATAATCGAATGACACAATCTTGTCACAAGAAATGCATTCCTCCTAAATATAAAGATGCAGAACTTGGGAAGGGTGAATCAGTATGCCTCGACAGATGTATAGCTAAGTACTTAGATATTCATGAGCGCATTGGTAAGAAACTGACACAGCTTTCAATGCAAGATGAAGACTTTGTAAAACGAATGCAAGGGGGTGAGCCACCAAAAAGCTGAAGACTACAAGAGCTTGTTTAATTACTAAATTTAAATTCCTGTGGAGAATAAGTGTGTTATAACTATCTGTTTTTCAAGCAATTGCAACGGAATATAACAGAGAGCTGGTAGTATTGAATGTTAGTGAAAGTTTACTTAGTGTGAAAATGTACTGTTGTGAGAAAGCTATTGAAATTTTGATCGTATGAGAACTACAAATTTTTAATCAAATGTATTCAGATTGTAGTAACATGCCTAGTCCCTCTTTGTTAAGTGTGCCATTACTGTCTTGAAAACATCTGCTAAAGAATATCAAGTGTCAGTTGGTGACTTGTATGTTTTCTAAGCAAACAGTGGAATAGACATGAGGAAAACATAAGTTCTTTGTTATTTTCTTTATCCACCCATCTTTTAATGAGGTGAAATTTTCATGAGTGGGAAATGATGGTGGGTAGTCGAGTGCACCAGTATGAATTATTCCACGCAGACGTCGAATCGACACTGACGTTTCTCACTGGGACACGTTTCAGAGGGATCACAGCTTATTTAATATTGCAGCACAGGGCTGGTCCATTCGTGGCCTTTCCACTGTTCTTTCACGTGATTTGATGGGGGGCGAAGTGCGCGTGTCAGTCGAATCTGATGTCCAGGTCGGGCAGCGTGGCCCTGAGGGCCTCCCACACCTCCTCGCTGAGGGTGCGCAGGGCGTAGCAACCCCGCACGTCCAGGTGCCGCAGCTTGTGCAGGTGCGAGGCCACCATCTCCAGGTGTTCCTCCGAGACGCTGGCGTTCTTGTACAGGTCCAGGCTGGTGAGCTCGTGCGCGCGCTCCAGTATCTGGGCCAGGCCGTGCGCCGACAGGTCGGAGCGGTGCAGCGACAGGCTGGCGAGGCCGTGCGCGCGGTGGGCCAGCGCCAGGGCGAGGCCGTCGTCCATGTCGATGCAGTCCAGCAGGCGGAACTCCTTGAGCTGCGGGAAGCGCTGCGACTGCAGGATGAAGTGGGCCAGCTCCGCCTTGTCCAGCCAGGCGTCGTAGTTGCGCCAGGTCAGAGACTCGAGCTGGCCCAGGCGCTGGAGGGCGGCGGTCAGCACGGAGGAGGTGATGTGTGGCGTGATCCAGATGGCCAGGACCTGTGGGCGCAGCACACAATGAAGTCAGTGCACGGGCCATAGTGCTGAGCGCCGTGCCATGCCCCCCGTCCTGGCGGGAACCCCTGCCATCCGGGGGGTAGGCTGACCCGCGAAGCACGCCGGGCGCCCTGCTGCCTACACGGTAGGGGCTCCGACGC